ACACAGGGTTAATAAACTATAAATAATAAATACCTGAATAAAGATGAGACTTGGGGTGGAGTAATGTCAGCAAGGTGGCAGAGCAGGAAGCCATGGACCCTCCTTCTCCCACAAACACACTGTTTCAGCAACAATTCGTGAACAAATTCACTTAATGAGAAATCAGAAAATGTCAATTGTGACAACAATAACATAAAGGTGTATGTGGTGGGAGAGAAGTTAATGTGTAGAATTATTGAATGCAATTCAACTTAAGTTGTTATCAGTTTAAAATAGACTGTTATAACATAAGATCTTTTTTGTAAGCCCCAAGGTAAGCACACATACACGTAAAAACAATCGTGTATAAAATTTAAACAAAGCAAAAAAGAATAAAAGTATATAAATATCAAAAACTGATAAATATGAAAAAGACAGCAAGAGAAGAAATGACAACAGAACTATAAGATTAACAGAAAACAGCCAGCAAAAAGGCAATTATATATCTTTCCCTATCAATAATATCTTAAATACAAAAGTAAACTTGGAACGTTTCCAAACTCATTTTATGAGGCTAGCATGACTCTGATACTAAAACCAGACAAAGATAGCACAAGAGAAGAAAACTACAGGCCAATATACCTGATGAATATAGATGCAGAAATCCTCAACAAAATGCAAACAAATAAAAATAATAGCACGTTAAAGGATCATACACTATGACCAAGGGGTTTATCCCTGGGGTGAAAGAATGAGTCAACCCATGACAGTCAATTAATATGATATACCACATAAACAAAATAAAAGATAAAAATTATATGCTTTCTCAATAGATGTAGAAAAGTGTTACAAAATTCAACATCTTTTTATAATGAAAAATACTCAGCAAACTGGGAATACAAAGAAATTATCCTAATAAAATAAAGATCACATAGAAAAATCCCAAAGCTAGTTATTATATGCCATAGTATAAAACAGAAAGCGTTTCTTTGAAGATCAGGAAGAAGGCAAGGATTTCCACTCTCACCACTTCTATTCAATATAGTACTGGAAGTCCTAGCAAGAGCAGTTAGTCAAGAGAAAGAAATAAAAGGCATCCAAATTGGAAAGGGAAAAGTAATATTGTTTCTGCTTGCAGGTTGCATAATCTTATATATAGAAAACTCTGAAGACTTTATTAAAGAAAAACTGTTAGAAGTAAAAAAAAATGAATTCAGTAAAGTTAAGGATATAAAATCAACACACAAAAATCAATTGTTTATCTTCACACTAACAATGTATTATCTGAAAAGGAAGTTAGGAAAACAATCCCATTTACAATAGCACCAAAAAGAATAAAATATGAAGAAATAAACTCAACTAAGGCAGTGAAAGACTTATGTGCTGATAACTAGAAAACACTGATGAAAGAAATTAAACAAGACACAAAAGCGGGAAGACAACCTGTGTTCAGGGAGTGAGACTTTAGTATTGTTAAGGTGTGCACACTTCCCAAAGTGATATACAGATTCAATACAATTCCTGTCAAAATCTCAGTGGCATTTTTTTTTTACAGAAATAGAAAAAATAATTCTAAAATTCATATGGAATCACAAAAGATCAGGAATAGCCAAATCAATCTTGAGAAAGAACAAAGCTGAAGGCATCATACTTCCTAATTTAAAAATATATCACCAAGTAATCAAAACAGTATGGTACCGGCACAAACACATACACGCATAGACCAATAAATCAGAACAGAGAGCCCAGAAATAAATCCATGCATAAACAGTCAGTTGGTTTTCAAAAAGAATGCAATGGGGAAAAGACAGTCTCTTCAACAAATCGTATTGGGAAACTGGATGCAAAAGAATGAAATTAGGCCCTTATCTTACCCCATACATAAAAATCAACTAAAAAGACTTAAACATGAAACCTGAAACTAAAATTCCTACAAGAAAACAGGGGAAAAGTTTCATGACATTGTCTTGGAAAAATTTCATGGATGAGATAGATATGACACCAAAAGCACAGGCAACAAAACCAAAATGAACAGGTGTGACTGCATCAAACTAAAATGCTTCTACACTACAAAGGAAACAATAGAGTGAAAAGGTAACCTATGAAATGGGAGAAAATATTCGCAAACTGTATCTCTGATAAGGAGGTAATCTCCAAAATATATAAAAGAACTCCTGTAACTTAATATTAAAAAAAAACACTAATGGTTTGATTGTATACAAAAGTTATCGCTTTTTATATATTTATCTTGTATTTGGCACTGTTTTATAACTATTTTATAAGCTCTGATTATATTTGTTAAATCTTTTGGATTTTCTTGGTAAACAATAAAAAAATCTATTATACCTTTATCTTGTCTTATTGCATTGCCTCAGGCTTCAAGTGATGAATTAACAGTAATAATATAAAAAATACTAGCCTTGCTTTGAATTTAATTAGAAAAAAATATAATGTTTCATCATTTTATATGAGGATTGTGACAGGATTCGTGTCTATAATATTTATCAAACAATGGAAGCATCCTTCTACTACCTACTAAGACTTCTATCATTATCAATAATGGGAGTTGAATTTTACCAAATGCTTTTTAAGCATCTGTTGAGATAACCATATATTTTTCCTTTTATATCTGCTAAAGTAGTGAATCACATTAATAGATCAGCATATATTTAATCCTCTGCATTTCTGAGGAAAGGTCTCCTTTGTGAAGTATCACTCTTAATATACTGCTAACTTATTTAAAGAATCATTGTGATTTTGAAAACCTGTGATTGAGTTTGAGCTTTTTGTAGGTATTCTGACTCTGATAAAGTCACTTAGTTTTCATTATTTTAATTCCCTCAATTGTAATATGTGTACATTCCAACCTATTCACAAAGTAGCTGTTAGGAATAGATGAAATTGTTGAATTCTTACATAATAATAACAACATTATATGCATGTCATTTATTACTTATGGTAATTAAGAGAACTGCGAGATTAGACTTACATCCTCTCCAGATAGTAAGCATGCACTATCTAATATACTGTTAATGAGGATAAACTGAGTGAATTGAATTACCAGTTTGTACATCCCTCCCTTTTTTCCAGTGGCATTGGCTATATCCATTGAACAGATAAGGAGCCTAAGACATACAAGATGGTAATTTTCCCTAAGACTTCACCAAAGGTAAAAATTCTATCATGGCTTTGTCTGAGCGTTCACTGATACTAATAATTCTTGGTTAGTAGCTCGGGCTACTTCTTCAAGAATAATGACTGCATTTTGATGGGTAGAAAGAAAATGGCCTACGGGATGATATTTTGAAGATTGTCCACTAGATGTCATTATGAGCCTATCAGAATTGTTTTAACTAGGCATTTATTCACCAGTTAAATACTAATTAGTTAAAGAAAAATATTAGTAAATGGGAATTACTGATGGTAACACTGTTTTTGACAAAGCTATTTGTTCCTTTTGTTTGAATATAAACTAAAGATAGCAAAAACATAGAACTATCTGGGGACTTGAGAGCCCACTTGAGAGCAAGCATCTCTATAAGGGAAATCATTAAGCTATAGCATGGAAAAGATATACTCTCAGAACAACAAAAAGTCAGTGAGAAATTTTATCAAGAAAACTAAACAAATTTTTGTTCTCAATGGACTTGCTTAATCTCTTTGTGAGATAAGTGGATTCCAAAAGAGCTTACATAAGTATATCAATGACAGGATTAAACATGGCTTTGAAAGGAAGCTGGGTAGAATGACAATTGTGAAATAATTTTAGGTTTAACTCAGAGAGGGCTACTAATTCTGTCATCTCTTTGGAGTTGCTTTTGGCAACAGGATTCTTAGATGAATGGAATTTAGCTAGCGATAATAACAAATGCTATAATGATTTCTAATTCTGGTTAATTCTTATTATTCCTTATGACCAAAGTAGCTGAATTTAGAGCCAGGATTTTTTTTGATGAAGACACTGAGAGTAGCATTTACCTATCATAAATAAACACTGGATTTTCTGTTTTATTTTACTTTTTTTCCTACAACCTCATTTATCTCCTCCACACATCCCTACCTTCTCCAGTACACCTTTAATCACTCTTATGATATATTAAAGAATGAAACACTTTCACCTCTCTTTAATCTCTTAAGAAATAAAGAATACCCCCAAGTTGGTAGCTCAACTATTCAGAGTAAAATAGAGTTGTCGATGTGATTTGGAATCATGGGTGGAAAATAGTGTCTCCAATAGACACACCTATGCCATCAGCTGTAAGCACAGCTCATGTTTGGCCCTCAGTCATACGTTGGTTGTTCTTGTTATCACATACTTGAAGCCATTGCCCAATAGGTATCGACAGAACCTCTTTACAACTATGAAATTTAAACTTTTCATCAGCAATTATTTTTATCATTTTTATTTATAGACATGCCTGATAAGCAAGAGACCAATTTCCAATCTCCAGGGAGCCTTGGGAAAAAAGAACACCCCAAAGATGTAGTGTATAGTAATTCCATCATCTAGAGCCAAGAAATAGTAGTGAAGTTTATAGATGTCAGTATCCTCAGAAAGTATGTTTCTTCACACAGTTTTCCTGTGTCAAAATTTTGCTGTTAACTTTATTTCACAGTTTGGGGGCATTCTATCTTCTCATTTAATCAGTCAATGGTCAACATTTAAGACATGCCACTCCTCTGAAATCAAAGTTCAAGTCTACTTGAACTTCTTAGTCAGATTGCCTAGCTTTCAAGTGTTGAATCATACTCGCTAAGGGGCAGTGGTTCAGTGATGTAGGAGAGAGGATTCATGCCCCGCACAAATCATGTGAATAACGAATGCTCCATTTTAGAGCTGGAGAGCTCTCTGGATTTCTGTGTCAGAATTCCTAACCAATGGGAGAGAGAGTGGCTTGAACCGCCCATTTTAATTCAGTGGGAGAAAAATGTGTGGAATGTCATTTGCGTAACTGTGACCTCAATTCAGCTACATGCCCAGGCAGGTGAGACAGAATCCACCATCCTTTAGGTAGCAGTCTCAAAGGTGTACTTTCAACACTTCGATTCCAGCAATTCTTAACATGGGATAATATTGTCATGCACACAAGATGAGGCTACAAGGTAATGTGGTTCATTTAAAAAAATCAACAATCATAACAGAATGTATTCCATCAAATAAATATTGCTTCTCTTCCAAAAAAAAAATATTGTTTTTTGAGAATAGATTTGATTTTTTTTGGAAATAGCCAAGATGTGGGTAGGTTGGAGTCAGTGCAGAGGAGAATCACTTAAAAAGCTGAATAATTAGAAAGGTTGAAGCTGCAGAGTTCAATCTTTTTTTTTTTTTTAATAGAAATTTCTTTTGGTTTTCACAAAGACTTGCCCTACCTGTGGTAAGGATAGCTTTAGACAGAGACTTGTTATCTGTGATATGATAATGTGTCCTTTACTCCCAAATGGGACATTTCATGAGAAAGAACACAATGACGTGGATAGTCAACTTGATAGACCTGGAAGATTCAGCACATCATAATTGGATATACTGGTTGAGGTTGCCCAGCTCTAAAGAACTGAGATTTTGAGTTGCATTCTGTTATAAGGAGTTCCAAAAGTCTTCCAAAATTAAGCTATTTATTCTGGAATTTCATGTTTTTATTTATTTATTTATTTGTTTTTTGTTTTTTTTAAATAACGTCTAATACTCTAGGAATATATTTTGAGATTATTTTTTATTAAAGTGAAATTTCCCTTATTTGCATTTAGGTTCATTGGATTTGGCTTAGAGGAAACATGAAAAAAAAACTTAAAAGAAACCTATGCGAGATCAAGTTCTTCTACGGAGAACTGATTTAATCCCATCTCTATCCTCTCTGTTAATGGATTCATTGGATTTGGACTAACACTGCAAAATGACAGAATTGGATTAGGTTACAAAGAAAAGCTTCAGGACAAAACTCAGCCTCTGCCATGAAGATCTATGAATTGGAAATGTGATATATAGCAAGCTATCCAGAGAACTTTAAATTCAATGCTGCCCATTCTCAGGAGGAATAATGACTTCTTCACTGGTGAGTAACCATAATCATTGTTTATAAATTTCAAGCAAAACTCATTGTTTATAGAGGCTTGGAACTTGGCAGTGTTCATCAAAATATTAGTAAAGGACACTTGAAGGGAAATAAAAAAAAGTCTTCCTCATTGATACTTGCAAATTATAGCAAGTCACGATGTAGCTTTGAGTTATACATCACTGATATGAGCTATATGTAATAAGCTATATACAGCTGACATATAAATGTTTACATGACATGTACATGTACATATGACACATATACATATATACATATATATATATATCACCTCTATGAAAGAATATTTGAAAATTTTTCTTTTCAAGAAACTATTTCTATAGATTTGGACAAGATTTTCTTGCTCTGCAATTCTTTCTCTTCTTATTCAAAATGCTCTTCTGTGGAAGAAAGTGACAAAAATGTGATTGCCTTCCTCATCAAAGGAAATCAGGCCATTTATATTATAACCTCTTTATCTCCACCAAGTCAAACAACATTAGTCTCCCTTTTCATCCTAAAACAAAGAGCCTTCAGGAGAGATGTAAAGGCACAACTGCAGAGAGGCATACTATTGTAGAAAGAATCGTGAAACGGGGATCCATTTCACCTTTGCCTTAGAGTAGCTGTGTGTCTTTGGGAAAAGCACAGGACCTCTTCAGGCTCAGTTTCCTGGTCTGTGGAATATGGAATTGAACCAGAGGATTTCTAAGGCAGTGGGTTTCCTCCCATTCTGCACCTTAGAATCACCTAAGGGTTTTGAAGGAGAGGAGTTCCTTGAATTGAACAATGTTTCTATTCCCAGAGCTGACCACAGGACATAATGTATAGTAAGGTTGCCATATTTAGCAAATAAAAACAGGATGTTTGGTTAAATTTGAATTTCAGATAAATTAGCTTTTTGGTATGAGCCTGTCCCAAATATTTGTGTGGCAACCCTAAACATAATAAGGAGTCAAAGCTTGTTTGTGGGATGAATGTATATTATTAAGCCTCTACTGGTGGGGATTTTAGATAAAGAATGTGTAGTGGTAAGGGGTATGTGTTTCAAACAGTTTTTCAGTTATTTCACATGGGGAGTTTCTTACTCTTTTTTAAGTCTTATCAGCCCTGATTGGGGTATTTTTCAGCCTCTGACAAGAACTATTATATCAGTTGGAATGCTTTAGGCTGTAAGTAACATATACCTCAATTCAAATAGCTCAAATGATAAGGAAATTTATGGATTTACTTAATAAGAAGCCTGGAGCTATGACAAAGTCATCGAAGATCCAGGTGTTTTCATTGTCTTTCTGCTGGGACTTCCTCAGTGTGTTGGTTTTCATCTTCACGTTTCTCCCTATGATTGTAACATGGTCAGTGTGTCTCCATGTATCATGTTTTCATATAAATACATTCAGAAAGCAGGTAAGTATTGTACATGTCTTTTCAACTGGAGGGAATATTTTCATTTGGGATTCCTACCCCCGGTGCTTTCTCTTCAAAATCATCATCCAGAATTAAGTCACTCGCCCATGTACTTCATCAAAGTGAGGCTGGAATGCAAATTTCAGGTGTTTTCACTCTTCCTGGTGGGAGGCAGTTTCTATAACTAATACCTGAAATGGTTGGACATATTGTGGAGGCAACTGAGTGTCATTCTTAACCATGACATCTAGAATAATCCTTTCCTTTTGAATGGCAGCAACATATAGATGGTGGACCTGTCTGAGGGAATGGGAAAATTTTACAGCTTTAGGAGGCTGTTCCTTTGAAGGCCTTTATGCATTAAACCCTGGCCAAAACCAAAGAAACATCTATGTTGGTCTCAACATAGCCCTTTAAACATGTTATCATTTAGTCAGAGTGATGAGAGCTTTAAAAGTACACAATTATATCCCTTTCTTCCCAGAAAACAAAAACAAAAAACCAAAACAAAACAAAAATCACTTGAAGAATCCTTTTTCTTTTCTCCATTATTCACCTTAGTGTTTCATACCAACTCTACAGCACAAAATCACATGGACTACATGCACAAAAATCTCAGAAGAGCTGGTGGAGTCCTCATTTCATATGGGGACTTTTTTCCTGTTGGAATCCATCCAAATGTACTTTCATTCTTCAGTACACTATTAGAAGGAAAGTAATACAGATAATAATTTTCTTTTGATGCCCATGACTGCTCAAGTCTTAAAGTGCTCTGCACACTTGTTTTAACCTCTGATCATCACTTTGGTCAGGTGTAGTAGAGCAGTGTGTTTCAATGCAGAGAAATTAACCAGCCTTAGGGCCTCCAAAAGAGCCTTGACCCTGATTTTCACACAATGTTATGTGTTTTTGCTCACCACGTAAATGGGGTGTGTTAACTAGGGAAAATTCTTTCATAGTGCTCCTGAAGCATAAATAGTAAAGTGCATTTTTCCAAAGCTTGGATAAAATTCCAAGTGGTATACAAAATATGTTTAAAATGCTACATCTGGAGAAAAGAGAATAGGAAAAAAAAAACAACTAGCATTTAATGAATAGCTTTCCTATTTCAGACATGATACTAAATGTCTGACATCTTTGATTTATTTAATCTTGAGAATAACTATTTGAATTATTTTATAGGCTATTGATTCATCCAAGGTCATATAATCTAATGAACATCAGAGGGAGAATGGGAATTAATGCCAAAGACTACTCCTGCAAAGGAAGATATGTGGAGTTTTTAAGAACACATACTTGATAAGGTAGTTTTTTTCTCAACCTGTATCTTTTTCTGTCTATTAAAATAGAATTTCTGTTTAAGGTTGAATTTCAGAGCAGGCTTTAAATCCAAAACAGCTTTATGTTTTGGGTTTTAAACCCAAAACATGATCATTAGCAGGATATCCAGTCAGAGATATTTTCTTGAGAAAGGTTTGCACATTTTCTCCTGCCCACTGACAAGGATAGGCACACATTCTCTGGAATCTGCTCCATTACACATTCCAAGCATAGCAAATCAATCATTAATTATTCTGAGTGAGAGTGTTCAAAGTTCTCTTATTTCTTTGGGGGATAGATAGAACAGTAAAAAACAAACAAACAAAAATCTTGGGTGCTTAGTACTTAAGCAGTAACTGATTCAATAGCCCAATTGTTTTAAGATTTTCTAATTCTACACTTCTTCATCACTTCCCAACGGGGGGGAGGGGGGGACTGTGGATTTTTGTAGTGAGGTAACAAGTAGCTATTGATGTTTTCTGACCTAAGTAAATTTGAATTGTAACACAAAATAGCCTAGTCTTAGAATCCTGAGCTGTGTGCCAGTTCCTCAAAAAGACTCTGAGGTATGCATAAGAGTTTGTAGCGACTATTTGAAAAAAGGGTTGAACTTTCAAGGATGTCTGCTTGAGAACACTTGAAAGAAAAGTAAGCAATGAGATCCAGCTATCTCTGGAAAAAAGAAGAATTTAAAGGTGAAAAATTAGTCCAGTAAAAAAACTTTGCCCAAAGATTCTCTTACTAGATGTGTGAGTTTTCTTCTTTCTGTTTTGCAGTAATTTGAACATACTGTTGCTTTATGGTAGAAAATTCACTTATTTAACAATTATGTGTTCAACAATAATTTATTCAACAACCCTTTGCTGAATATCAGCCATGTGTCATACATTGATGTAGGGGTAGGAACAGAACTGCCAATTAGGATATAATATATAAGGTGTCACTGCCGAAAAGAGCTAAGTACCAAAATTCAAGAAAAATGATGGGAACAAATTCTAAGGCATTCATTCTTCAGAATGACCCATGAATGCCAGGTCATCTTTATACTGCCCCACCCACTTATTATATAAACTGAACAGTGAGGCCCAAAGCCCTTGCAAATTCTGCTCACTTAAAAAAAAAAGTGTCTACATTTTTTGCAGATGTAACAATGTGCAAAGAACCTGTGAGAAATGTGTTTTTGAATAAAACTACTAATGGGCAGTATTAAAAAGTGTGATGTTAGACCTTCACATTGATTTAAGTCAAAGATCTCAGGCTAAGATATGGATTTCAACTTTCCTACCCTAAAAAGATGGCTTCAGATTACAGTATTTTAAAAATTTAGTTCACTCTCAGAATTCTAATTTAATATTAATGTTTGCTTAGAGAAATGACTCTTGGAATCAACCTTGAGCCAAAGGAAAACTTCTGTTGACAATTCCATAGCAGAGGGAACCATGATTTCCACTCCCAGTGTTCCCATCTTGACTCTTCACGTGGCTTTTATTGATTTGTTTCTGAACTCAGAGGGAGTCAGAGCATCATGAATTCTTACTCTGAAACCCCAGCATCACCTAGAATTGCAGACCAGGCAGGTGTAGGGTAGGCCTGCCCATACTTGCTAAATTGGACAAGAGAAATCCTTCTAATCTGGGACGGAGATCATCGAAAGTGTGTAAAAGCTACTCATACCCTGGCTCATTAAGGGGTCACCTTGGCTTATGTAATAAGTAAAAGGAGAGGTTCCCTAATGGCTCATGAAACAAGGAAGAATGCTGGCCCTAAAAATGCTAAACCTATGCATAAAAACTGAACACCATGTTGCTCCAATATTCAGAAAACCAATGAAAAGATTTTCAGTTTTAATCCCTGTGTTGGTCTCTTGAAGACACACAGTGTCAAATAGTACAGGGCTCATCTCTGAATCTTTTTTAAAAGAACTGTTAGCCAAACAGCTAGTAAACAGTTTTCCTTGACATTTTTTATAGAACCCCTTATATCTGTTCAACAAAATATACTAAGGAACTCTTTGTGAAGGGACTTTGAAAGGTCATTTAGCCCACTGTGTCAACTGCTGTGTCACAGCCCATGAATGCATTCAAACATCTCATTTTTTTCAAAGATTCCCTTTGATCTGCCATTTCTCCACTAGTCAAACCTCTTATCACTAATTTCCTCAAAAGGTGTAATGACCATTCTCCTTGGTCCCACAGTATTATGCAAATATATCATATTCATAAAATGAAAACCATTGTGCTGGACTTGCTATTATAACAAAGACTTTTGACTTA